CCTTCTGGTCAAAAGGTCGTAATAACTATTGTGCAATTTCTATGTTGGACTTTCCAGATAGGAATGCAGATTGGTGGACACAATCTGTTGCCTTAGTATTTCAAAACTGTGTCAAGAGAAACATGGTAGCTATAAACTACCTTTATGTAAACATGACTTTGATTTCTTTATAAGTTGTTTGTTCAAATTATATCATCCATGTATTTTTATTAAAACTAAGTAGCTATTATTTGAAGGATAAAACCACCACGGAAGAATGCCTCATGAAAGCAAATTAAAACAAATCCAATGGCATCTCTGGAGTGTTTGCTTGTCAAATACCACTGTAATTTTCCAATGTAACCTGTAACCTGGGGAGCTAACTTACTTTTTCAGGTTGCCAACAGAGAGTCAGTCGTCAGTCAGCCAGACCTGTGGATACCTCAAAGACCGTTCCCTCTTCTCGGCTAACTGCAGTAGCAGGAGATACTTTATCTGTGAGAAGAATGTCTTCAGATCCTGCATCTAAAATGCATCTTAAAGCCACCTCTGCCGCACAAAGCTTTAGAAGAAGTCAAAGAGCAAATGCAGGAGGAGACTGGTGTGTGGGCCATGAAGGCCAACTGCTTTTATATTTATGTGCGGCAATATTTCTGAAAGCTTTGCAGATTTCAATTGAACTTATTCAGTGCACTGAGGAGAAAAAATGATTTAGAGATACAGAAGACCTGATCCATTGAGAACAAAGAAGAGAAAATTATTTCTTGTTTATTTGGAAGAAATCCAGCCATCGTTATAGGAGTTTGCACAGTAATCCCTGATTTGCTTTTTTAATAAATAAATTTACCACTATACTTAACAATTGATAGAGTTTTCTTAAGATCAACTTCCAGGAATTGTATACCATATGATCATGTTCTGAGAAAACTCAGATTTCCAAACTGTAGTGTTACCACCAATCATATGCCTGGGGTCCCTCAGCTTTAGAGAGAAGTGAGCAGGATGGCATACCTCCAGAGCTGGTACTCCTCTTCTGAGGCCCAAGGCCTAGGAGTTGACCTCACAGATATAGAAGCTTACAGTTCCTAACCCTTGGAGTTTAGGGTCTATTGTTCTAGGATCTGGGTGTGCAGGCTGGAGGCTTATTGCTCTGGACTTCAATTAGCACTGGCCCCAGTTCTTGGCAGCTTTTGAAATCCCAGACCTTCATCAGCAGCACCAGACAGCAGTCAGTAGCAGCAGGCAGCTCCCACTAGTGTTCTAGTTCTTAGATGACTCTTCCCCTAACCCACTATTTCTCTTTTCCGGTAGGCCACCGCATTCTGTCTTTACTCAGCCTTGCGTTTCTGCCTTTTCTTTTATTGTCTCTGACTCCACCATTTCTCAGTGTCTCTCTGCTTCCGCTGTCCATCCTTTCTGCCATGACCACTCTCTGGAATTCTTCTGCTGGTCTCCTGCCCATCGCTTGTACCCTGGTGATGGTGACTGGAGAGCAGAAGCTGCTTCTGGTGCTCAGCTCACTTCATAGACAAGAAGATAGCACAGACTCTTTACACACGCGCAGGTCTTCCCTTGGGGCCACGGGTTGGAAGTGCTCCCCCTCTGGCCAGAGTGGGAATAGCAGCAAGATAGGCCTGGCCATCTGCAGTTTGCAAAAGAATGCTGCTTTCCACAGGATGTTCCAGCTAAGTGAGCATCGCAACTGGACCCTGTCTTCAGCCATGAGGTAGTGATCCTCTTCAGCAGCTAGAGTGTCCTCAGAGTAAAACACCCAAACCGCTCGACTGCCATCAAGGCAGTCTGATCCATTGTTAGTAAAGGGGCTGCTTGGCTGATAGTTTGAATCATTCACAAGAATTAAAAGCCTATTTACAAAAAAGACTTACTAAAACCCCAATATATTACTATTCTAATAGCACTAAACAGTACTTAAAAAAATATCATTTAGCAGGTTCAACTCCTTCCCGAAAGCTGTAGAGTCATTGACTCTTTCTGGTCTGTCTTAGAAAGAATGAAGACTTCTTCTAGCTGTAGAGTTGACTGTGCTTTTCAGGCTGCAAAATTCTACTGGGAAAGGAAGCTTCTACATAGGTGAAGGGATAGTCAACACATCAGCACCAGCATGCCCTGCAGTGTAGGTGGCACCTTCAGTGCCACCACTCACCAGTCAAACAGCTCACAGTCTGCGATGCCAAGATTAACAACCTGGCACTTTCACCTGCCTGTCTCTGTGCCTCAACTTCCCCACCATAAATTTATAGTACAATTCACTTCAAAATACTGCTTAAGAATGCAACCCTAATGTTACATGCAAACAATAGAAAATCATATTTTAGGTAGGAAGGTTGACATAAAAAAGCTTGCCATTTACAGGACGGAAAAATTTGATAATTGTTATTATCATATTCTCTGTCTACCATGTGCCATCTCTAAATCTTACTACATAGCATGCTCTCAATAAATAGTTGCTAAATTCAATATGGTTGTATTTAATCTTCTTTCACTCTGACAAGAAGACGCTGAGAGGTACAAGATTTTCATCCCTTCCTTCTTATTACAATGGCATAACAGATAAATAATTTAAAAATTCTGATTTACTGAGGCAGCAGCAATTATTTAAATGAAGCTAAGCATCCTTCAACCTAAAGTTCATTTCTCAGTGGTTATGGTGCCATAGCAATGAGAAGACTGTGCCTTTGTCTTGTTTTTTACCTTGGCATGGCATTTAAAAGGTAGAAGTGCGTGCATGCACACACACACACACGCACACGGACACACGCACACGCACGCACGCACGAACGCACGCACACACACACGCACGCACACACACACGCACACACACACACTCACACACGCATGCACACACACGCACGCACGCACACTCACACACTCACACACACACTCACACACACACGCACACACACACACACACTCACACACACACACACACACACACACGCACTCACAAAAGAAATTTCTCTAGCTTTCTGCTGATCCTGGGAGAATAAAGATCTCAGAGACTGTGGAAGTTGTAGACTGTGTGGTTTTTGCAGCTGGCAGCTGGTAGCTAAATATACTAATCTGGAAAACAGTAACAATGGTGATTTTTAACAGTAAAGACTGTCTCTGAGATTCTTCAAAGGCTTGTCATCGGGCTATGTTTAGAGAAAGGATGGGAAGCACTGACAATTCTTCTCAGAAAAGTACAAGGAAGCAAGTGCAAACATCCTCTGGCTGATGTTATCCAGCCTGTATATATACAATGCTGTATTTACAAGCCTGAGATTTATCTACAGTGCAGATGATACAGGAGTCTACAATGTCCCAGGCAGTCATGCTACACCTACACAGATGCAGAGGTTGGGAGAGTTCTCAGTGCAGATTGCTAGTGATCCAGGATGCCTGTCCTTGTTGAAGGTAATTAGCCATAAGAGGACCAGATTCATGTCCCAATCCTACCAATGATAAATTATATACTTTTAATGCATCTCACTGAGTGAACTTATAAAAAAAGAGAAAAATGATAATTCCTCTGCAATTGGAAAAAGGTTCTGCTACGTAGTATTGCACACTAAATGCACCAACAAAATACTGACATAATATTAATAGACTAATAAATTTGTTCTTAGAATCTAAAAATCTATTCATACAGTGAGTTTTGAGCATCTCAAGTCACACAGTACTTTTAGTGTGACTTTCAAAAACTGCACTTGACTCCCAAACATTAAGGCTGGGCACAGGACAACCACTCAACTTTTGTACCTAGTATGTAATCTGTTTGTATTCCCCCATTACCCTGCTCAAACTTCCTGCTGTCATCAGGTTCCTGACCTGTTTCCTGCTGATAAGTCCTGAGAGTGTTCAATATCCTCAGGAAAGTAATAGCTCATTGTGTACCCAAGGGAGCGTGTTCTATGGGAAAGGCCATGGTCCCTGTTTGAGTCTTCCTGCACTTTCTTCCTAATTACCTACACAGTAAGAGACCACGAAAATGTCTTCTCATCCTTCTCATCCTGAGAAAGCCAGTTCATGTGGTTTCCATTTTTTATTATCAGCAAGCCTTATCCTAAAATTCATTTTATGATTGTTTCTTGTTTCTTAAATGTTTGTAGAGGCAGTGTTGTACCTACTCCCTTTTCTCATCTATTGGATGTTTGTTTATGATGTTATCAATTTTATCAGGCTTGAATACAGAAAGGGGGACTAAGGGTAATAATGAAGAATAAGATCAAGAAAAGATATTTTTTAAAATACAATTTCTTTCCTTTTCACCCTGAAATAACATTTTGCTTGAGATCTCCGATTGCAAATAAGAATGCTATTCACCCTCTAGATAGCTAGACTTTATCAGTCAATAGTAGTTAGAAAGACAGGTGTCTTCTTCCCTCCAGGAGTCCAGAATGCTAGAGTCAAACTTAAATGAGAGTCATGGTCCTTGTTTACAATTAAGTACATAAAGTTTGTGACTTTCTCTTGCTGACTCCTGTTTCCTTCTGCAGGTTTATACAACAATTGCTTAATAATGTATTTGACCTTAATTTTTTTTTATTTTTTAGGTTTTTGTATTAGTCATTTTAACTGAGCAGGAAAACAGTCATCATTTTGTTAATTATGGAAAATATTTGAGAATATTCTTTTACCTTTAATGAATAAAGAATCTGTATTTGTGTTACCCTATATTAAAACAAGAACTACTAAACCATTTTAAATATTTTCTTAATTTATCTTACATTTTCTACTACAACCTACATTATGAGACTAACTTCACATTTGCTTCAATTTAAGTAATATCATTGGGAAATTAAAAATATTTCAACTTTTTAATCAGCTACATGAAGTGATGTGATTTGCTCAATAAATAAATCAAACCAAGAGAGACCTAAACCTCTCAAGTTTTAAAACTAACCATGAACACATTCTGTTACTTGACACAGTAACCCTGCACAGAGTTCATTCATCATTGAAGAAACCGCTTAGCTAGTTGGAAGGAAATCTAAAAGAAAATTTAAGCAGCCCATCAGTCATGTTTAGATAAATGACTGTTATCAAATTGAGTCTTATGAAAATAAATACAGAATTGTTCTCATTACAAAAGGGCTAATTTAGTAATTTCACCATGAAATAGATGTTTTCCAGTTTTTACTGTTGAAGACTAAGAGTGTGACATCTGATACTGGTGCTGTCAACCCTATAATGCTGGCTTCTCTATAAGCAATGAATTCAGTTGACATGGTGTTATTCACAACTCCTATTATGGCTTTGAATGTCATCACCCAAAGAATGTCTAGTCAAGAGTTTGGCTGTGTAAACTTCATAGCTTCTCTTTCTCTTCCAACTCCTGTTTAGATATCATGTGGTCTACCACATCTCAGGTACTCAACAGACCAACATCGATGTCATGATTTTGCCACAACCATTTCACTTTAGAAATATCATACAGCCATCCTTTTGAAGACAATTTGTTTTGTATACTTTCTTATCCTCAGATATTCCATAAACAATAGCCTCAGAGTGGCTCCACCAATTGTCAAGGCACAAGTAGTCAAACAGTCTGTTAACACAGTAGAGAAAAGCGTTCCCTTGCTGATTTTCCCCCAAGTAACAAATCCATTCTAAAACCATACCCATTTCACATTATTCGCACGTATTATTATTAAATCTTTAGTACCTGGAAGGTATAAACATGTTTCAAATGGAATGGAGGAAGAATTCAAACTATTATCTGTGCATTTAAAGAGACTAAAATTTCTCTCCAGTCTCCTTGTTGGAGTACAGGGACAGTAATTCTAACTTATATGAGAGGTGAGATCATCCTAGGAAACATGATTGGGGAAGGGCACAATGATGGACTGGAGATTGACACAATGAGAGCCAGCTCGGCTGGAAAGATGATCAGCGGTGTAGCAGGTAGAGCGATTGTTAAGAGCCTGGGAGAGGCAAAGTGTGAACTGAGAACAAAAAGTATTAGCTGTGTATAACAGCACAGGAATGGGATGTCTGGTAGTTTCTCTTGGACTTCCTGTTAGGACAAAGGACCCCAAAGGACCCCACTTCCTTTTTCTCTGTTCTCTGCTTTGCTTTTTCTCCTTTCTCTCTCTCTCTCTTTCTTTCTTTTCTTTCTTTTTAACTCTATTGCTCTTTTGTTCCTTCTTGCTGTTTGAGAAGAGGTCCTCAAATAGCCTAGGTTGGCCTCCTTTCTATGTAGCTGTGGGTGGCCTTAAACTTTTCATGTCTTGCCTCCACCATCCTAGTGCTGAGAGCTGGAAAGCACCAAGACTTGTGTAGACACCACCACACACAATGAGTGGTTTTGTATCACCCCCTCTATTTTCTTATGTGCCTCTTTTCCTAGTGTAAAGGAGACATGGGAAACAGGGTGAGGACAGTCACTGAGAGACAGCTGAAAGCCTTCTGTAAATCAAGGAGGACAATGATCTAGCCTACTGAGGCTAATTAGTGCTTCATAAGAATCTTTGTGACAGGTAAAAGTGTGTAAGAACTGGTGCTGGAGTATGAATGATGCTGAGCCAGAATGAGGAGAACCTCTCAAGTACCAGTCCCAGCAGCTGACTCTGTTTTCCAAAGCTTTGAATGTCCATTTAGTTGGCCTCACTTGACTCAGTCCTTTGGCTGGTGGTTGAAGCTGACCTGTTGACTTCCTCTGCTCAATGTTTGATGCCACCTACTGAAGCACCTCAGGCACCACTCTCCCTGCCATCCGCTCACAGGCACACCTTCTCAGCTCTTTGCAGTCCTTTGAGAAAGCCTTTCCATTGAAGATGGTCATACAGTCCCTGTTCCTTAGGTTGGTGGGATCGATTATAATCTCAAACCTTAGGAAAGAGAAGGAGAAGAATTTAATGTGGTCAGAATTTATTTCTAAAGTGACATATATAGAAACAATAAAAATCCATCCCTCAGGTGACAGAGATGATGATCTCTATCCCTAGGATGTCCCTGCTGGAGAGATGGGGCCAATGAATTCAGTTTTTAACCCTTCAGTCACCACTAAAAGCAACAAAAACTGTTCTTAGATAAAGCAGAAGCACACTCTGATTTTACTGATAATTTAAAGTTATCTACTATTTCTAGTATTCAGTTTACTTAATTAAAAATACAAATGATTATAACATTACATCATGTTCTATCATACACAGAGAATGGAATCTCTAACATCTCTAACAGAGCTTTAAATGTAACAAACTTTCCTAAAGAAATTACATTTACTCATGCTATGGAATTCCACACACACCCTCTCTAAATGCTTCCGTAGTAAATAAAATATTTTAATTTGCATAATAAAGTGCAGAGAGCCAAGAACTCTCTGAGGCAATAACTCAACCCTGGCTATTGACAGATTGGATGACCCTGAATGACCACTATACATCTGAATCTCCTTTAATTATTCGTCCAAATGAGATCTCCTCTCCCTTTTCTTCTCTCTCTCTCCTTATTACTCACTTCCCAGTAGTGAGTGACTCCTAGACACTCACTACTGAAATCAGCCAGGAAACCACCTGCTGATATTTGATAATCCTTCCCTTCTCTCTCTCCCCTCTGTTTTCTAAGCCATTTTCAACACAAGCACCTCTGGGCCTCCACCTGCAAGCACACTATGCAGTACAAAACAGATGCTCCATAATCACTGCTAATCTGTCTTTATTAAATGCCTCTCGCACAGAATGCTCTGAAGGCTTACAGTTCAAAGGAGTAAGGTGTCCCATCTGTCCACAGCCACGCTTTGCCACTGCCATTGCGGGAGAGCCCTGTCCAATAAGAGTAGAAAAACTCAGAGTAGCTCTGAGGCATGGCAAAATCCTGGAAAGGCACACAAGAATATGTTTAGCTTTGAAATGCTTCAACCAGGAGTACAAGACACTTGTCATGAAGCCGTTTAGAAATTTGACAAAATGATATGCTTTGTGTTAGTAAGCATGGAATATATGTTGATATTATGAAAACAGAACCCATATCAACCAATAAAAATGGTTGACCAATTATTCTTAATGTATAAGATTAAGCACAAAATTGATATATGAGAGGAACTGAATGCGGTGGGGCACGCCTTTAATCTCAGTATTCAAAAAAACAGAGGCAAGTGGATCTTTGTGAGTTTGAGGCCAGCTTGTTCTACATAGCCCACTCCAAGATAGCCACAGGTACAAAGTGAGACCTTGTCTCTAAAAATAAATAAGGGAAAGAGAGAAAGAGACAGAGAGACAGAGACACAAACACAGAGAGATACAGAAAGACAGAAGGAAAAATGGGAGGTCTGAAATATGGCTCAGCTGGCTGAGTGCTTGCCTAACTTCCATTGAATTTTGTGATAACTCCTTGTCTCTAAAAATAATTTAATTTTAATTAACTGATTAAACACTAAATGTTATTGCCATTACTCTTGATTATTGAATTAAAACAGAACAAAAACAAATGGGAGAAATATTTTTAAAATAAGTGAAATTATTCTAGAAAATGGGAAAAATTATTAGTATGAAACTAGAGAAGTAATTGTTATAAACAAGAATAAAATTATGGAGATACTTTAATGTAAAAAGAAGTAAGGAAGATTTAGAAGGATAATATGAACCTCACACAAAAAAGAAGAGAAAAATATACATTTCTATATGCCAATATATGTCAACTCCTTTCCCAATACTGAGCTGTAAAAACAAGCATTGCATGCTTTACTTCACATTTGAATATTAGTTCTGAGTCTTTATATACATGTATTTGAATTGGGGTACTTGGGATGGGCAAAAAAAATAGTAAGATGCCATTGGGACATTTCACATAAAATGAAATAGAATGCCAGTGTTATGAAGGAGAGAAATGGAACAGGAAGGGCTAAATGGGATGCAGGTGGGAGGACAGGGTAGAGGAGGGAGCATGTGACTAAACTTAGTGACCTTTGAAAATGCTGTGTCCATATATAAAAGGGTTTAAATGGAGTTATCCAATATTGGGGCAGTGCCTCAGCCAGACACCATAAGCTATCAAACAAAAAGCCACATATCAACAAGTCTTGGGATGTAGCTTAGTGGTAGGTTGTCTACTTTGCATTCATGAGGCCTGAATCCAATCCACAGCACTGAAAAAAATCCCAGTTCCATATCTGTGCCAAAAAAATTATTGCTCAATTAGGCTTCAGAGATACCTAAATAAGTCACAACTATTCTTATATTTGCCTTGATCAACCTTCTGGAAGGAAGAGAAGGAGAAAAAGGAGAAGAAGGAGGAGATGTGTGGATGTGTGTGTGTGTGTGTGTGTGCAATTTATGACAATTATTTGATGGGATATTTTTCAATTAAAAGATTTTTAATGTTTTTAATGGAAAGATAGGCGGTCATATTATCATTTTTCTTAGATTGCACCAATGTTATTCTCTTTCTACCCCATCTCAGTAAAAGAAATTAGGACATTTTCTACTTGCTCATTGACAAAAGGGGTAGTCAACTGAGATATGAGCTACTTCTCATATTTATGTGCAATAGGTATTTGGGGAGAACACAGCTTTTATCCATTTCAGGGATAATTTGGAGCAATTGGAGTATGACTTGGTCTTCACTGTGAGAAAGAGTGGAAATCTGTGGATCAGAAACTTAACTCCTTAAAGTGTTCTTGCCCTGTTCTTTTAGGGGACTCCAAATAACGAGGCTCAGGCTCTTACCAGCTCTTCCTGTGTGCTTATCTTCAGCATGGTGGCATTTTCAGCCAAGCAGAAATATTCACAGCCCTGCCAGCTTTTACTCTCTTTATAGAACTGGTAACATTTGTCCCCATGCCACTTCCAGTTTTCTGGGCAAGGGCTACATCTGTGTCCTTGGAAGAAAACAAACACACTTTGGTTAATTATCTTCTGCCTGGGTCTGCTATTTTTCCTCTTTTGGAAACAAACAGTGTTCGATATTCCAAAAACTAATTTACATCTCTTAGGTATTTGAGTGAACACCTGTGCTATCCACCCACTCCACCCTAGGAAAGATCTATAGTTGGTGTTAAACATTCAGTGGAAATTAAAAGATACTGCTTATATGAAGTATTGCATCTGGTGACGAATGACTGAAACTTCTGTATTTCAGTGCAATGCAGAATGTGGACAGAATATTCCTTCATGAGATGGCTCGTATGATTATGCAATGGTTTGAATATAAAATTCTTCCCATAGACTCAGAAGCACTGGGGGTATAGTTTTGAGATGGTGAGCTTTGGTGATGTGATTGGATCCTGAGGGCTTTGATATCATTGATGGACTGATTTATTGATTGGTTTCAAATATGATGGCATTAATAGGAGGTGATGAAAATACTAGGGGCTAAGACAGAAATCAATCACTGGGGGATGTTCTTGGGGCTATATCAAATGTCTCTCTCTTTGCATATGCCCCTTTCTCTGCTTCAAGTATGGTGTGCATGATGTAAGCTGTCCTGCAGTGGCTTTCATTGCCACCATGTGCTGAATCATCTGAAGCTAGAAGCTAAACAAGTCTTTCCTCTTTTCACATTGTTTGTCAGGTATTCTCAAGTGTAGGTTCCTTGTACTCTTCCTGCACAAGTGTTTTTTGTGTGTGTGTGTGTGTGTGTGTGTGTGTGCATGTGCGCACGTTGGAGTGTGGGCACTTGCAAGCCAAACAAGTAAGCAAGTAAGTACATAAATTGAGAGTAAGATGGGATACATGGGTACTTGTTACATACATGAGTAGTAGTCTCATGAGTATCATGGTAGTCAGGATCTTGCAAGTAAGTCATGTGGGAGGGGCATTTAATCATATCCATGGTTGTATCACTGTTTTATTTTGGAGGCGATAGAGATTTGAACACTGTGTTACTTTAGGTTAAATACTGAGCCATATTCTATGCTTTCTTGATGTGGGATGCCCCTCTGTATGCTTTGAATATGTTTTATTACCATTGGTTAATAAAGAAGCTGCTTGGGCCTATGACAGAATAAAGCAAGTTGAGAATTCCAAGCAGACAGAGGAGAAAAGAAGGTAGAGTCAGAGAGATGCCACGCGGTTGCCAAAGAAGACAAATCCTGGAACCTTATCAGTAAACCACGAGCTTCATGGTAAATATAAAATAATAGAAATGGGTTAATTTAAGATGTAAAAGTTAGTTAATAAGAAGCCTAAGCTAACAGACTAAGCAGTGTTTTCATTAATACAGTTTTTCTATGTCTGGGTGACTGAGAAACAAACGAGCAGCCTCCATCTACACTTTCTAACCTTTTGTTTTGAGACAGGTACTTAATAAATGATCCAGGTTATCCTTCAATTCATTTTATATCCCTGTATTAATTTGAAATTGTGACCTTCTTGCCTTGGTAGCTGGGATTGCAGGCCTGTACTACCTTGCTTGACATGTGCTTAGATAGGGTTTCTGATAAAACACCGTGAGCAAAAAGCAAGCTGGAGAGAAAACAGTTTATTTTACTCAGTTTCATATAACAACTCATCATCAAAAACAGTGAAGTCAAGAACTAAAGAAAGGAAAGAAAGAGGTAGGAACCAAAGCAAAAGCCATGGAGAAATGCTTCTTCTTGGTTTACTCGGCCTACTTTCTTATATAACCCAGAATCCAGCCCAGGGATGATACGACCCACCATGAGCTGGATCCTCCCCCATCTGTCACTAATTAAGGTCACAGCTGGTCTTACTTTTCTCAATTGAGGTTCCCTTTTTTCATATAAAAAGGCTTGTATAAACCTATCAAGGGCAACATGATTTTTAAGAACAATTTAGTACTAAACTACTGCTAAAATGAATTACAATGGACATAGTGAATGAGAATCCAGCGAACAGTCCTCATGCATACAGACGACCTCAGCTTTAACAAAGACACAAAGAACATAGCTTAGTGAACAGTGTTTTTAGTGAATGGTACTGGGAAAACTGATACTCATATGAAGAAGAATAAACTAGACCCATGTTTCTTGTCATATAAGAATATCAATTCAAAATGGGTCAAGGTCTTAAGTGTACAAACAGGAACTATATCTCTTCTATGTCAAGGAAATAAAGAAGAAAAATCTGCCAAGACATTACTGTAGATAGAGATTTTGGATTAAAACTCAAAAGCTTAAACCGCAGAAGAAAAAGTAGATAAATGTGATTCTATCAAACTGAGATGTTTCTACATTCATAGCAAAGGAAATAATAGCATGAGGAGACAACCTTCAGAGTGGAAGAACATGTATGCAATCTACTCGCATAGAAGAAAAAATTCTAAATAGATAATAAACTCAATCCCAAAATAAGACCTCCAAATAATCCAATAAAAATGAGTAAATGATACAGGAGGCATTCCCCCAAAAGACACACAAATGTAACAAGTACACGAGAAGCTGCCCATTGTCACTAATCTCTACAAAAATACAAATCAAAGCCACCATGAAAACCACAAAATGCCAGAGTCACAATGACAATCAATTAAAAACTGGAAAATAACAAATGCTCAAAAGAAACATAGGAAGAACTCTTATACATTGTAGATAAAAATGTAATTTAGTACAGACACTACAGAAAACAATATAGAGATGTCTCAAAAAACCCAATCTATGGCGAACATGTAACCTGATAATCAGACTATTATGCATGTATACAAGTGAAATGCAACTATGATATTAAATACATATCTTCACTCTCACAGTTATTATAGCACAATTCAAAGTAGCCAAGAAATAGACTCTTCCAAATTGTCCATGGACTGATGAATGGATAAGAAATAAAGCACATATATGCAACAGGTACTATCAGCTATTGCAATAAAATGAAATCATGTCTACTTACATAAAAGTTTGTAGAACTGGATAACATTGTGCTAAGTGAAAAGAACTAAGTATTTAAAGACAAATAGTATGCGTTTTCATTCATTTGTGGAAACAAACGTAATAATTTCAAAGAAGAGATAATCAGGCAGGAAGGAGAGAGAGGAAAGTCGGAACGTGTTGTGTGAAACAAGAAGTGATACCATAGAACTAAAGACGCAGAAAGAGTCCTATGTTGTTCTGACTTAGTATTAGTTTAACTTTACTTAAGCAACTGGAAAAATAAAAGTAAGGGGATGGAATAGTGGTTCAGTGGTTAATAGCACCATCTATTCTTGCATAAGACCTAGTCTAGATTCTCAGCACTCACAGTGGTTCAGAACTACCTGTAACTCCAATTCCAGAGGATCCAACACTCTCTTTTGATCTCCCCAAAGAGCACCAAGTATGCCCTTGATGCATAAACATACATGCAGATAAAACACTAATGTATATAAAATCAAACAACTAAATCTAAAACATTTTTTAAAAGTACAAACAAATTCCCCAAGACACAGCACACATACATGTTGTATGTGCAAGCATAGATGCATGAGCATGTTTCAGGGGAAATGCATGTTTTTGATCAGCTAGATGAATGTATGAAGAGGTGCTGCTTTCAGATGCTCTGTTCTAAGTATGTATGTAGAACTAGTGAAACAATAGTGGTCATAGAAATCTCAAACTGAGCATGGGCACTCTTTGTGAGATCCTCCTCTATGTCCCTGTCTATGTAGAAGGCTTCATGTGCCAATAACTACAACATGGTCAATACAGCAAGAATGCCTGTGCAGCAAGGCATCACTCTCAGGCAGGCCAGTCATTTTCGTCTGCTTGTTTCTGTTTGTTCTGCTGTTTTTTTAATTTTTTTTTTTAACACAGAGTCTCACTGTGTAGTCCTGGATACCCTGTAACTCACTCTGAAGACCAGACTGGTCTCGGACTCACAAAGATCTTCCTGTCTCTGTCCCCTGACTACTAGGATTAAAGGCATAGGCCACCACTGTTTGGGTGGGTCAGTCAGAAATATGACACATGGAAAATCATCCAAAAATACGAGATAATTTTCTGTTTGTGTGTTTTTACTAGAATTTGAGCACATAGGATATTAGTCAATTTATATCTGTGACCCAGACTTTTTTCACAGCATGCATTCCTATCACCTTATATTTTTTTCAGAGATACCTGGACGTTTTGTTAATGTAGAATCCTAAAAAAAAAATAAGTCTATGGGTCTGGTAGAGAAACAGAAAAGAGAGAATTATGGTAAATGATGTCACTTCTCACATGGAAAAAAACCATTTAGAGAAGTGTGCCTTGAGACACTGTTTACTGAGAAAATCATTCACTTTCTGTCTGCTTAAAGGGGAAGTAGTGTGGGCAGGGATGATGATGAAACTGTGGCACTTTATATTTCATAAAGGAGAAGTCAAGCAAAGATACAAAATGATGTAGATTTCTTCCTATGCTTGTGTGGTAGAGAGGACAGAGGACAGGGCTGACTTGAATATAGTGTACAAGGATGAAACTTTTAGAACGGGAGAATAGAAAGAGTGGGTGGCAGAGTGTGTAGGGGACATTGAGGTGATGTTTGCAGTTAGCATCAGAGGTAGTTTGGGTTTGCCCATTACTGTCATTGTCTTTACCCTTGATTCTTTGTAAGATTCCTATTCTTGACAGAGAAAAAAGTCAGAGTGAACAAAAATAACTGTGATTTATTTCAAGTTCTCCGAATTTTGAGACGAATCCCCGCATGAGTCTAAATATTGGGAAATTGTAGTTAAAACTTCCCCAACACTTTCATTGTTCCTGATCACTGTGTGCCGATGACCAGTGTGTGCCAGTGTAACTGAAGCACGAACCTATGTTTAGTTGATGATGGTGCTGTTTATGTTATTCTAAATTAACTACTTTTCCTGTTTTAAATGTCAAAATTTGAAAAATCCCTTCCCATACGGTGACACGGATGTGTGTAAGCAATTATAACCCAATGTCTGATCATGATTATGCAGCTCAAACTGTTTATTAAGATGAAAGGAAAAGCACTTCTAAAAAATACATGGTTTTCATTGCCCAGATGGGAAATTCAAGTCCAGATAGAACAGTTTTCATGGTTTGGGAAGACAGCGGCATGCTCACCTCCGCTTTTGTTGTAAAGTTCACGACACAGTTTTACAGCTACGTGCTGTAGAGTTTCTATGAGTCTCCTGTTCTGCATCTGGAGGGACTGCAGCTGTCGGGATACATTCCCCAGCCTTTCGTCCTTTTCAGCGATGCTGTCTTGCTGGATATTGGAGAGCTGGTAGAACTGAAAAACTAAGTCATGTGACCAAGTCAGACTGGACAGCTCATTGCCTGTTTGCATTTCCACACAGTGGGGAGGCAATAAAGCACATAGCCTAACAACCTAAGTACCGAGAGCTCACCTTGCCACATCCAATGGCATAGTTTATTGTATCATCTCAGGTAAATATATATTATACACCTCTGTTGGAAAATATGAAGCCAAAATAGTGATTCTTAATTTCAGAAGCTAAGACCTAAATACTAAATTGTTTTAACTATTGAAGTATTTTATGCACAGCCAAACCTAAAACCAACCTAAAAATGTGAATATACTCATCTATTGACTATTTATTATATTGAATATTAGAAAAATGGCATAATCCATAGTTCATTTCATTATTACATTGGTCAGACCTCATTTCCATATTTTTGTAGACTTGTAATTAGTGTATGTGAGGACAAGTAATATCTTTAGTGTCACTTAGCGGAAAAGAAGATTGAACTTCAGTTTTCTAAATCTAGAGAAATCTGTCATGAGTCATGAGAACCACTTTACATTCCTAAGGAAAAAAGGTGACTACAAAATAGTGCTGTAACAAGATGATATAAATTTCAGGGTAGAGAGAAGTAATAGTATTTCTTTTTAATTTTTAAATTTAAGTTCATGAATGTAAACTTTTTGGTTTTTTGAGAGAGGACTTCTCATAATTTTTTTTCCTTCAAAGAAAATCACTATATGACCCCCTGATCCGCATTGCTGTATGGCATTTGCCTGGGGTCACCATCAGCAGTTCAGGAAGGGGTTGTGTATTCTTACTGAGTAGATCTAGGAACACACTGTTGCTGCTTTGAAATGGAAGGTTTTTTTTTTCCTTGTTTGATTTTCACCCATGCCCCCCCCCAAGATAACGGAATCATTTCCCAGCCTTTCTGACAACAATAGAGACCCAGCTCTACTCTGCTCCTTGTGTAGAGGATGGACGAGCGCAGAAACCACTTTCCCTGTACCAGTCCACTGCACCACGTGTCCTCGCAGCAGCCGCCAGAGCTGTGCCACCGGAGCAGGGGGCAAAGAGATCGACAGTGCATGCTCTCCAAAGTGGTGATTTACATATGGACATGTAAACGGATACAATACTTGTCTCCAACAGCATGTTTTCTTTGAACTGAAAAATGCTTGCTGGATTTCCATACTTCAACTCCTAGTCATTTAAACAGTTACCTTTAGAAAGAGGATAAGGCTCCAGAATTAGGATTTTAAGAAACTCTAAGAAAGAGATTCTCCTCCTGGACAAATCAATGAATCAGGAACCTCCCCCAGGGTAAAGTGCAGACTTACACACAAGGCCCAGGGCTGCGAGGCCGACAAGTAGCACCAGACACAAGGTCAGCAGGGTCAGAGCCACTGGGCGCCAAACTGAAGAGGGAGTCTCGTTCTCTGCTGGGAACAAAAAGAAACTAAGATTGGTTTTTAATTTTTCTTGGATTAAAGTCAGTCCAACACAAAAGTTGGAGAGCCTTTTAGATGCAAAATGAAGGCAGTCAGGACTTTACTCTCTGTCCTCAGAAATATGGCCACAAAACCCACTTAGGTCTCACTTTTACATCTAGTTCATTCATAGGCCCCACCACTTCTGATCTCTCCCTGAGGCCTGCTGCACAGCCATTATGTATTATCATGAAATGTAAATGGTTGCTTTTAGAACCTTATAACTTGTCAAAACTCTGACCGTAGAGGCCAGGTATGGTGGCACACACCTTTAATCCCAGGAGGCAGGAAGTTCTCTGAGTTGAAGGCCAGCCTGACATACATAGCAAATTCCAGCCCTTCCAGGGTTACATTGTGAGACCCTGACTCAAAAACAAACAAATAAACAACAACAAAAGGACAAAAAGGAAAATGTGAGTGTAAAGATTCTTACATATGCCTGACATGAGTCTGGGCGTGGAGGTGCACACCTATTATCCCAGCAGTGTAGGTAGAGGTAGGGGGATCAAGAGTTCAAATTCAACTTTAACTTTGTTAGAGATAGAGATCAACTAGTGTTGACAAAAGCAACCAAAAACTCAAAACCCAGGAACCCTAAATCTTACCAAGGAACAACTTTTTACAGCATCAGGAAAACCATGCAATTAATTTGTTCTCAATTTTGCAAATATGCCCTGTCTCTGGTGCTCCACCTATGTGTCTTTAGGGGAAAAAATGACATTTTCATCATCAGAAATGATAGTATGTTGTTTCTTTTTGGTTTTTCTTCCATGAGAATCCTAATTTGTAAAAATGTTACATATTCATTTACCAGCCTTCCATCTTCCCCAAACTAAGTTAGAAAGGAACATAACCATCATTTCTCATAGATGAGTGTAGCTATTTCCAAGTTCATACCAGTAAAATTACGAACAAAAAACAGAAAAAGAAACACTAGGGACTACCAGTATCCTCTTCTTGACTTTGTTTCCATGGGTTTGACCTGTCACAGTAGAGTAGCCACTGTATCGCTAGGAGACCTTTCACCTGGTGAGATCATCTATTTGGGTTATGACCAAAAGCAGCTGACAGATTTGAACTCTCCTCCAGTATAGATAACATCTGGGCTTTGTGACTAGAAACCAAAAGTAGAGCCAGAAAACTCTATGCTCTCTATGTTCAATCTAATTAAGAATTCAAGTCAGGATCTAAAACAGGAAACAAACATATACAAGTTCATATCTGGAAACCCAGTCACACTGGCCAGGGAGTTAGGCATACCATCTTTACTCTCCCTCCTGTCCTCCAACTCCAACTTCCAATCTTATCCCCAATTCTGTAGCAGACCACTGACTATGGTCCTTCTTTCCTTGGCCTTCTCATATTGACCCTCACACATTGATAGTGGGAGACTTTATTTATCTCACACTCACTAATACACAGGTCAGCAAGATAAAACTAAATAACCAAAAAAAATGCTGATGATTAATGACATCATAAACAAAATAAATTTAACAGGTATTACAGGAACTTGCACCCAAACACACACAGACATGCAAAATATACCTCCTTCTCTGTAGTGTAGCTCATGGAATTTTATTCCAAAGTTTACCATATACTAAGACACAAATCAAGTCTCAACAGATACAAGAAAGTTGAAATAACACCCTGTATCCTATCTGACTACCATGGATTAAAGCTAGATAGTAATAACAACAGAAACAACACAAAACTTACAAACTCATGGAAACTGAACAATTCATTACAGAATGAAAAATTAACCAAGACAGAAATTTAAAAAGAAATTAAACACATTTTATAACTGAATGAAAATGGAAACACAACATACCCAAACTTATGGAAAATAATGAATGGTTGGTTCTAAGAGGCAAGCTCATAGCAATAAGTGACCACAGAAAAAATGGAGAGATCATATATTAGTGATTTAGTGATATGCTTAAAAGCTCTAGAACAAAAAGAAGTAATAACACCCAAAAGGAACAGACAACAAGAAACAATAAAACTCATGGATAAAATTCAATAAAATAGAAACAAGAAGCATTTTTTTTAAAAAAAATCAATAAAACAGAGTTGGTTCTTTGAGAAAATCAATAAGATTGATAAACACTTATCTAAATTAATTAAAGGTGATGGAGAAAGATTCAAAATAACAAAATTAGAAACAATGTAAAGACATAACAACAGATACCAAGGAAATCCAGAGAATCGTAAAGAAATACTTTAACAACCTATACATCACCAAGTTGGAAGAATCTAAAAGAAATGGATGATTTTTCTTGATATATATGACCTATCAGAGTAAATCAACATCAGATAAGCAATGTAAACAGATTTATAACCTCTAGTGAAATATAGCCAGCCATTAAAAGACTCTCAGCCAAAAAAAAGAAAAATCTAACTATTATATTCCTCAACTTATTCTGCAAAATAAAAACAGAGGGGACACTAGCCAATTCCTTTTGCCAGGTTATAGTTGTATAGTTGCCCTGATATCTAAACCACATAAAGACTCAACAAAGAAAGAAAATTACAGAACAGTGGTCCTGATGAACATAAATGCAAAGTTTCTCAATAAAATACCTGAAAACTAAAATCAAGAACACATTAAAAAGATCATCTACCATGATCAAGTAGGCGTCATCATAGAGATACAGGAATGGTTCAATATACATAAATCAAGAAATGTTATCTACCATATGAAAGACAAAAACCACAAGGTCATCTCATTAGATGCAGAAAAGACCTGTGACAAAAATCCACCACTCCTTTATGGTAAAAGTCATGGAGATAATGGTGAAGGGATGTAAGAAACAAAACTCAAATTAAGATGTGATTTACAGCAAATCCACAGTCAACATCAACCTCAGTGAAGAAAACCCAAAGCACTTCCACTAAAATCAGAAACAAGACAAGGTTGTCCACTCTCTCCATATCTGTTCAGTATAGTACTTGAATTCTTAGCTAGAGCAATAAGACAACTAAAGGAGGTCAAGTGAGCATAATTAGGAAGAAAAGAAGTCAATATATCTTTATGCATCAATGAAGTGATAATAGTCATACATGACACTAAAATTTCCTCCAGCCAACTCCTACAGCTGATAAACACTTCAGAAAAGTAGCAGGATGAAAAACTGAAGTATAAACCCAGTTTATATACAAAAGAAAAAGAGATGGAGGAAGAAATCAGGGAAACAATACCTTTCACAATAGCCTCAAAAAAAAAGATATATTGGTGTAGTTCTAACCAGAGAAATAAAAGACTTGTACAATAAAAACTTTAAGACACTGAAGAAAGAAATTGAGAAAGGCATTAGAAGAAGATCTCCCATTCCCATAATTAATGGGATTACTAGATTTCAAACTTTACTACAGAGATATAGGAGTGGAAAAAAACAAGGCATTGGCACAAAAACAAATACAGATCAATGGAATCAAGTTGAAGACCAAGACATTAATCGATACACCTATGGACACTTGAATTTTTATAAAGCCAGAAACACACACAAGAAAAAAGACAGAATCTTCAACAAATGATACTAGTCAAATTGGACAAGTGCATGTAGAAGAATCCAAAAAGATACACACTTATCACACTGCACAAAAATCCACTACACTCCAAGTTCATCAAAAAACTCAACATAAGGCCATATACACTAAGTCTGATAGAAGAGAAAATAAAAAATAATCTTTAACTCATTAGCACAAGAGAAGACTTTCTAAGCAGAACACCATTATCACAGGCATTAAGATCAACAATTAATAATCAGGACTTTATGAAACTTCATACTTCTAATTGCTTCTGCATGGCAAAAGACACCATTATTCAAAATGGCATTCTACAGAATAGGAAAAGATTTTTACCAACTACATGCCTATTAGAGTGATAATATCCAAATTATATAAAGACCTAAAAAACCCAGGCATAAAAAATAATCTAATTAAAAAGTAGGATACAAAGCTAAACATAATATTCTCAAAAAAGGAATTCACAAATGACTGAGAAGCACTTAAAGAAGTGTTCAAAATCCTTAGTCATTAGCAAAGCATAGATGAAAACTGCTTTGAAATTTCTTCATCCACTCAGTCAGAATGGCCAAGATTAAAAAAACAAATAACAGCTCATGATGGCCAGCATGCGGGGTAAGAAGAATGCTTATTCTTTGCTTGTAGGAGTGTAACCTTCTACAGTCTTTATAAAATCAGTGTGGCAGTTCCTCAGGAACTTGAGAATAGATATAGCTCAAGATTCAGCTATACCACTCTTGAGCATATACCCCCAAAAAGGTTCATCTCACCACAGAGGTACTTCTTCAACCATGTTCATTGCTGTTTCATCAGAAATTGGAAACAACCCAGATGTCTATCATTGGATAAATGGATAAAGAAAATGTGGTATAATTAACAATGGATATTACTCAGTTTAAAAAATGAAATGAAATTTGCAAATAAATGGACAGGTCTAGGGAGAAAATCATTCTGATTGGATAACATGTATCTAGAAAGAAAAATGTGGTATGTGTTTATTTGCATGTGGGTGTTAACTTTTAAGTCTTAGATAAGCAAGCTACAATTCATATAACCACAGAAGTTTGGTATAGACTAAGGGAGTAGGTGGGAGGAATGAATATCCCTAGCAAGGGGAAATGGAATTAATAGTTAGGAATAGACAAGGTGGGGGGACTAGAACAGAAGTGTTAAATGTGGATGGAGTGGGAAGAGGGACCAGAGGAGACAACACAGTGAGGGACAGCTATAACAGTTGAGGGATAATATGGAAACTTAATAGACTGGAAGCTTCCTAAAATATATACACATATGAAAAAAATCTAAATAAAATCACCAACTAATTGGGAAGATAGAGCTCCAACTGGAAATCTCTCGTCACCAAATGACGCTTCTAGTACCAAGAATGTGTTTTATCTGATAGAATTATTGACTCAATAAATAACCCC